GGGGGCCAGAACAACAGAGTTAAACCAGAAAGTAGAAAGAAGCGAGGATTAATGAAGTGGAAACAGCAATGCGGCCTTGCTCAATGGAGCGAAGGGTTAGCTGTTTGGAAAGTCCTGTGACCGCGTCAGACCTGGGGAAGTCTGACCAAGGAGAACAGAAAAAGGTACCAAAGTAGTATCCGCTATGAGAAACCATAAAAACAGCTTTAAATGCTAGCAGACAGTACCTCAGGGGTCCTCCGCTGCAGGGGTCCTTCCCCCAGCGTGATTACGGAAAAGCACAGGATGGGTCTCTTTTTTCGCTTTTGTTTTTGGTTGTGTTAAGGGTGGTTGCCCAGGGGTCCAGGAGGTCTTGAACAGCCTGTCACACTGACAGCCTCCCACCCCCGCCCCCGGAGTGTTCATTATGTCGGGGAAGACAAATAGTGATCCAGAGGAAGCGAACATAAGCAGGAAAACATCCTTCATGGACACACAGCAGGTAAAAGATACTATACTCAGAATGCAAAGAATATCTTAAAACCAATTTTTACAAGCACTAAGTAGTAAGAAAAAGAGCTGACACAGAGCCAATAAACACACAATGGATAGGTTAGATATGTATCCAACCCATCAGTATCAGTACAAAGACATGTATGGAAAAGCACAGAAAATAAGTCACACAGGAAACTTTAAAAAACACCAAAAGGTGGGAGGTGAGAAATGGCGACTCTCACCACTTCTTCGCCCATACATCCCTGTAGTAGTTTAAGTTCTAGAATGAATATATTCTACTGTAAGAGACATTTAAAATTTTAAGGTAATTATTACTGTTCAAAATGACGTAACTTCATGGATATTCACTAAAATACAAATAGAAAGAAACTCCCCGTGATTTTCAGACCCTCCCCCACTCTTCTAACAGCTGGCTGTGTCTACATTCTGCAATGGGACGCTGACCGGGCTGGCGCCGGGGTGAGCGTGAGGCATGGAGTGGAAGCGGCCTTGCCCCTGTTCCCGTGGGAGACCGCGCAGCGAGGGGCTCTCCCGGCGGCCACGGAACGCCTCCCCTCTCACGGGCCAAACCCTCACGGCTCCAGATGCCCCTCAAGCGCCCCGGAGTGAAGGAAGCTTCCAACCGGGGCTCCCCCTCTACCAAGTGCAGTGACCAGCGGAGCCCCCTCCCAAGGCAGCCGGGCGCTTGCAACACGCAGGAGTGCTCAGGGACCGTGGGCCACGCAGCCCGAAACCCGTCCCCACGACCAGGCAGTGCAGGCGCGTGAGGCTCTGGTACTGACCGCGGCTGAAGGGCAGCAGGCTGCTCAGGTAGGGGAAGCTCACTCTCCGCAGCTCGTCCAGCTTCTCCTGCAGCTTGCGCACCTGGCTGTCGGAGCGGCTGACCCTCTGGCGCAGGCTCTTCAGCTCGCCGTTCTTCTTCTCCACCTGCTCCCGCAGGCAGCACACCTGGCTCTTGTTCTGTCGGGAGGAGAAGCAGTAGGAGTGCAGCGAGTCGATGAGCTTGCAGGCGCCTGATGCTGACAGGATGACCTCGTTGATGGACATAGGGCTGGCGTCGCTGTGCTCGCTCTGGACGGCCTCTGCCGCTGGCTTCGGGGTCACGTCTGTCGGGGGGGCAGAGGGGCTCTGGGAGGGCTTCTGAGGCGTCACGGTGAGTGATGAGCTCGGGGGGCTCTGGGCCAAGCCCTTGTCGGGCCCTAAGCTGCTCCCGCTGCAGCCAGGCTCCACGTCTCTCTTCAGCCTCTTTCGGTCAACAGGCTCTCGGGGCACAGACGCCCTCTCTCGAGTGTGCTTGGAGGAGAAACTGTAAGAATGCAGTGAGCCAATAAACTTGCAGGCCCCAGACCCTGGAGGGGTAAAGTCATCCACGGAAATGCCGCTCTTATCCACCAGGCCGCCATCAGGGGCGGCGGCGGTGCTCTCACCACTGGCTTCCACGGCAGACGTGTCTGCCTCTCCCTGGCTGCCCGCCGCCGCTGCTGCGCTGGCCACACCATCGCCTAGAGCTCCTTCCGGGGCCTGCCACGTGCGCTCCTGACTGGCGGCATCCTGGGAGGCCCTGGGGGCAGTCTCACCCTGCAGTGCAACTTGCTTTGCCTTCCGGGACCCTGGCTTGGCCATTGGGTTTTCCCCTGAGGAAGACGATGAACCTGTAGCTCCTTTCCCGTCTGCCCCGCTTGCGTGTCCCCTCAGGCCCCCTGAGGACTTTCTGGTGACCTTTCTCCTTGTGCGCCCATGACCTCCAGTGCCCCTCTTCTTCTCGGGCAGGTGGAAGATGGAGGGCACCGCCGTGGGCTTGAGCAGGCGATGCTGATCCTCCAGCCTTTTGGAGAAGCTGTCTTTGGTGAAGTGTTCACTACAGAGGAAAGAATACTTAGTGGGGGTCCAGTTATCCCTCTGAACAGCTTTTAACCACTGGATCAAACGTTTTGAGTCCTTTAGGGGGAACCTGCAGGCAAAATGACAACAGAATTAGAAATAACTGCACGTCTCCTCCCAAATTTATCAACTATAAAGGCAAAACAAGTGTTTCTGTAAATACCCAATCTTGTATTGACTTCAGTCATTTAAAATGTTAGTAAAAATTTAAGGAACATCTACTTGGAAGTAAGCACGAGACTGAACGATGACAGGCTCACTGCCCACCCTTAAGGCACTTACAACTGGTAGGGCAGATAGAGGATGAAGGTAACCCCTCCCAGGCTGTGGTCAATGCCCGGTACGAGAGGTCACACAGGACAGCACCCAACAACAGGAAAGCCTTCAGGAAGCCCTGGAAATAGCTGCTAGAAACACACAGCTGAACAACCCTCCTGGTGTGCCTCAGATGCAGGCTGGGTGCTAAGGCAGGGGTGGTTGGTTCCCCTGCTCAGAAGCCAGGCCCGGTCCTGGGCCGCAGAGAGGGGAGCAAGGAAGCCAGAGCCTCTGTGACAGTGCTTGAGCCCAGCCTGAGCCATGACTCAAGCAGCTGAGCTAAGACGAGGTCAGACTCAAATGCTCTGGCCCCCCGTTCCTGCTACAGTCCCACTGCCAGGAGGAAAACTGCGTTTTGAAAAAGCAACCAGCTCCTGGAAAGTACTGAATAGGATACTTAGTAATCACTTCTTCTCAATAAAACAAGATCTCTATTTAGAAAACTGGAAGGAAACTCTATGCAGGGGTGGGGTGGTTAGTCTGGAGGGCTATCTGCTCCACCTGAGGTCTTCTAACCCACCTGTGGCCACTGTGGACCAGAACCAGGACCCAGACAGATACTAACTCGCCAGAAAGCTCTGTGCAACATGGCCTTCCACACTTCCCCAAGACCCCGATTCGCACATCCTTTGCCCCATGCCAGCAAAGACCATTGTGAATGCCAAGGGCAGCCTTCTGTGCAGTGCTATGCCTGGCTTTTGAAAGCAATATCAAAACTTTACCGGAAAAAGGCGCTGAAGGAAACTCAAGAAAGCACAGTGGCTGGCCTCCAAAACAATGTATTACCAGTTCCTTCGATAGATTGTAACAGCGTGAGAGAACAAACCACTGAGAATTTCTAATGAAGCTACAGGTAACATGCCAGTCGAGCCTCCAAAAGCTAACTCCCTGTAACCCACAACAGAAGTGCCCACGAGGAGGCTTTCCAGGCTCTACTCCTGAAGCCCTCAGGAAGGGAGCCGGGACAGAGAAAGCAGAGCCCTCTCCCTGCCTTGGCGTCTGAGCAAGAAGTGGCCCAGAGGGCCCGTGCACGCGTCCGGCTGAGGAGCCGGCCTCGCCCTGCCCCAGGCAGGATGTCCCAGGACGCCCCGCAGCGCGGCAGGGCCACTTCTCCCCGCGAAGGCGAGGACCCTGCTACAACCTGCGTTTGCTCAGCCACACTCCCGATGGCACAAATCAAGGCAAGCTCGCTCGCGATCAAAAGAGCACAAAAGTCACAGCAAATGTAAGAAGACAACTGACCCAAGAGCGTCTCCAGAATACACTGGAGACTGGTGGTACCAGCGCGAATCAATGGAGCGCAGGGTGGCCGCGGGGCTGGGGGGAGAGGGCGGTGGTGGTGGCCGTACGGTGGGCGCCGGGGGGGCCGAGGGATGGCCTCCGGGTGGTCTCCTAGTCGGCGTGGGGTGGGCGCCAGGTGTCGGAAGGATGAGGGGCGGGGGGGGCGGGGGGCCGCTAGGGGCAGCTGGGGGCCGCGAAGGGGGGGCGCCGGCCGCCGTGGCCCCAGACGCCCGGCCCAGAGACGGCGGCCCGGGCCAAGGTCACACAGCGCCCGACGCTGACTCACTCGCGGGACCGGCCCCCAGGCCCGGCGCACCGAGGCCCTCCCGCCTCGGGCCGGGCTGCGCGGCCTCAGTTTCCCCGCGGTGCCGGGCCGGGCCGGGCCGGGCGGGGGCGTGGCCGGCGGGCCGCGCGGGCGGCGGGCCGGGCGGCGGCGGGCGGAGCCCGGTTACCTGTGGAAGGAGACGGCGCGCTTCTCCCCCTTGCCCTGCCGGTTGGAACAGTTCGCGGCCGCACAGCAGATCACCATCTCGGGCCTCAGGCCGCCGCGCCGCCGCCAGGCTCCGGCCCTCGCCTCGCCGCGCCGCGCCGCGAGCGGGACCGCCCCGAGGGGAGGGCGCGCGGCGACACGGCTGCGGGACGTGGGAGCCGGCCGCCGCGGCTCCCGTACGGCAAGATGGCGGCGCACGCCCTGCCGCCCGGCCGTCCGGCCGTCCGGCCGGGACTCGGCGTGCCGGGGCTCCCCAGTACCCGGCTGGGCGCAGCCCGCGGCTCGCGGCGTCGGGGGTGGGCGGGGGCGGCCCGGGCCGGCGGCCCGGTACAGCGGCATGGCGCACTGGGCCGTCCGTACGGCAAGATGGCCGCGCCGGCGGCCGGGGCGCACGCTGGGTTAGCGCGCCCTTTCCGGGGCCCCACCGCTCGCCCGCGTCTGCCTCCGCAATCCCCACGGGTCGCTGTCGGGGTGCCCGAAGCGAACGGGCAGGCCGCCAGGGAGCCAGGCGCGCGGGCCCAGCCCTGGGCTTTGGGCCTCGCCGTACGCCAAGATGGCGGAAGTGCACTTCCTCCCACACTTCCTGCCCCGCCCGCGCCCGCTAGGCCTGGATTGGCCCCGGCAGCGGCCCGTCGCGTCGCGCTGCGGAACCGTCGGAGCGACGCCGCTGCTCAGTCGGCGGCCGGAGAGGGAAGATGGACGCAGGTAAGGGCCCGAGCGGGCGCAGGGCGACCGGCGGGCGACGCCCTCCTGGCCCCTCTGCTGCCGGGGCCTTGCCCAGCGCGGCGTGGGTGTGGGCTGGCTGCGGGGCCGCCGGGCCGCGGGGCGGAGCCGGCCCTGGCGCGGAGCGGGGCGGGGACGGCGTCCGTGGGAAGGCCGGCGCGGGTCTGACAGTGGGCTGTCTGCATGTCTCGGCGCTTTTTCAGGGCCGCCCGCAGCGCCCGGGCGCCGGGCGACAAGCCCAAGGCCGGCGCGGACGAGCAGGGGCTGCGCACTGTGCGAGACGGGCGGGGGGGCGCCGGGCGGAGCTGGCTCCAGAGCCGGCGGCGGGAGAGTGCTGTGCCTGCCGCCAGCCCACGCCCCAAACGTTAAGGAATGGAAGCTCTTTAACTCTTTGGAAGTTACATCGGGAGCCTGGTGGCGAGAAACGTGCTCCCAACACTCACAGAACACGCAGCTTTTTTTGAAGTTTTTTACTTCAGTGCCCAGTACATCATGCAAGCTTCCTTTTCGTGGTTGAAGAGAGAAACTGGATTCATGTCGTCATATCTTAACTTCTTGGGGTCCTTGTGCGAAGTATGTAGCGGGTGGGAGGGCGTATGTGTGCGTGTGTGCCCGTGTACACGTGGGGATATGTGCATGTGTGGCTCTCTGGACTGTCTCATTGTGCTTCTGTTCCAGCGGGGACATCCCTTGTGTTGCCGTCAAACTGTTCTGGGTCTTGGTTCAGTAGCCTTGAAAGTGTTCTGACACCGGCTCTCTTGTCCTACACCAAGGGTGGGGACAGTTTTAGTCCTTTCATTCCCTGTAGGGAGTAATTTACCTTCAAGCACCTCCCTGTGTCCCCACCGCCACCTGGTGTAATTCCACCTGTCATCCTGGATAGCTTTGTTTGCTTTGTCTTTCTTCTCATGGCAGCGGCAGCTTAAATTTACCAAAATCTCAGTTTGGAAACTGGAATGCAGACGTGTATGGCCAGTATTTCAGTGACTTGTGGCATCTGGCTGGAGCAAACAGTAGTCTTGACTCCCGAAGAAGCATGTTAACCAGATTGTGTTTTGTGAAGTTCGTTTAAAAAAAAAAAAGAAACCACAGAGAGTGTTTTACTGTTTCCTGGGGAAATGGGGTGGAGAAAGGAATAGAAATATTTATCTGCTTTCTTTGAAGTTATCACTGGCTGGGATACTTCAGACTTCGTAGGAGAGACTTGGGTAAGATGGAAAACACAATTCTGTGTTGGTTATATTAGCTTAAAAAAATGGAAATCATCATGTTGAAGTGTATTTCAGAGTAGAAAAAAAGTGTTTGCATTTGAAGGCCGCTGTTGCTGCTGATAAAACATATGATCCTTGGAGGCTGTGATGGAGTTTTCCTGACAGGATGCTCTACATCTTTTTAGGGGTCATTAATGGTGCAGCCTCCTCTGATCCTGGACTCCTTACAGACTCTGCCTTCTTTGACCAAGTCTTGGGCAGCTCCTAGTTGTTTTTATAGTGATCCATTCAATAAACTACATTTGTTATTGAATGAGAGGTTTGTCTTGGGCATTGTTCTAGACCCTGGGGCTAGAGAAGGGAACAAAATAGACAAAACCCATGTGGTTCATGTGGGAGAGTGATGTGGGCCAAGCAAGAGGGAGTTTCAGTTATACCCAGAATGACCAGGAAAAAAAACTCACTGCAGACAGAGGTAAGTTTTGACCAAGACCCAAAAGCAGTGCAGGAGGAAGGGCAAGTGGGCCATCGTGGCCAGGATGCAACAGTTCAGGGTGAGAGAAGTAGGAGCTGAAGGCAAAGAGACAGATTTGGCCCAGTCATAGGGCCTGGTTGGGTCATAGTGAGGACTGGGGTGTTTATTTATTCTAAATGAGTTGGTGAGTCTTTGGAAGGTTTTCAGTATAGCAGTAATGTGACTGGACCTATGTTTCACAGACTGGCTCTGGCTGCTCTGTCCAGAACATACTGCATGTCCTGCAGAGGGGCAAGGGCAGAAACAAGGAGCCCAGTTAGGAGGCTGTTGTAATGAGGCAAGTGAGAGGCCATGGAAGCTTAGCTCAGGGTGGAGAGAGGAGGTTGACTTCTGGATGTATTTGAGGGTTGAGACGTCAGGATTGTGTATAGGCTGGAAGTGATGGGTTGAGGGGAGGCATGGAGAGGGAGGATTCAAAGATGGTGCTGAGGTTTATGGCCTGAAGTGAGAACCTCTGGTGGGGAAGACTTTGGGGGTCTTGCTTGGTGGGGGAGCTGTTGGTTTTGTATGAGCGGACTGTTGTTAGACATCTTTTTTGTGATGTCCAGGGAAGCTTAGGGTCCACAGGCCTGGAGCTGAGGTCGTCGGCCTGGACTTGAAGTGGAAGTGTGTGGAAAGCTGCTTTGGATGAGTCCCTGAGGGTCTGAGAGGAGAAGAAAAGAGAAGGGGCCTGGGAGGGGCACCCAGGGCTGCTGGCTGCCATAGACAGGTCCAGAAGGTGCAGATGGACTGCAGGCTGGTTGTGTTCTCCACCAAGCCCCCAGCACTGTGTGTGAGAACACACTCTGGGCTCAAGAGTCTGGTGGGCGCCCTCAGTTAAAACATGGCTGTGCTGCCTGTCCCTGAGGACAGAGCCATATCTCAAGTTTGCATCTCCAGGGTTTCAGCTGTGTCTGGCATATGGTTGGTAATCGAGAAAGCAGAACTTGAATTAATGTCAACTACGTGTTCCTGCACTACAAGGACTTCAGTTTAGAGAGTCTGTTAGTGTATAAGGTGTCAGTGGCGTGAAGGGGCTGCTGAGCCCTGCAGGGCAACGGGGCTCGGTGTGGTGTTCTGTGCAGTATGCTTACAAGTGCAGTGTTTTCTAGGTCTCTGGTGTAGCTGACCTTCCGGGCGCTTTTCCTTTCTCTTCCTTGCTTTTCATTCAGAACTGAACTGCCAACATCTTCATGAAAATTGTTTGGGATTTTAAAAAGTAACTACTTGCAAACCTGTTATTCTAAACTTAAACATTTTCCTTTTCTTTCTTTTTTTTTTTTTTTAAAGATCTTATTTATTTAGTTGGTGGAGGGAGAGAGAGAGAGAGAGAAGAGCACAAGCAGGGGGAGTGGCAGGGAGAGGGAGAAGCAGACTACCTGCTGAGCAGGGAGCCCAGTGCGGGCTGTATCCCAGGACCCGGGATCATGACCTGAGCGGAAGGCAGATGGTTAACCGACTGAGTCCCCCAGCATCCCTATACATAAACATTTTCTAAAGGAAAGGTGAACCCTATTTTTGATTTTATTTACGAAGCCTTATCTCTCAGAAGCTATAGGTGGTTGAGGGAATTATCTTTGAAAAGTGATGCTTTTTTCTGCCAGATTAATAATATTAAAATATTTGTTTCTAATGGAATTGCCATACCATTAAAGGGCTTTCTGCTTCCTCTTGTGGGTGTGGTCAGAGACCTTTTGGAGGAAAATATGGAAAATCAGGTGTCTGGGACCCAGGTGACCAAATGAGGGAGAGTGCCTCTGAAGCAGCGTCATTCTTACGTTGGCCAGAATCTGTCAGTCTTGCTTGTCCTCTGTGTCCTCTTAGTGGAAGTTAAAACCATTTCCTGGAGTCTGGAGACTGGCATTATTTTTGAGATTTGATCTCTTTTCACTCAGGAGCATGTGAAATGCACATATGATTTGATACCATGTGTGGTGATGATGAAATTATTCTTAGTCCTAATTAATTTGGGGTGACCCTGTCTGGGAAGGATGCAGAGTTTGCTGGCCTCCAACTCCTGTGAAGCTGGTCAGTCTGAGCAGAGAGTTGGAGGTGAGTCTGAGCCTCCTCTGTATTGGGTAATCCGTGCAGATGTAACTGTGAAATTTAGTTTTAAAATAGAAAAGTACTGGGGAAGCCTGGGTGGCTCAGTTGGTTGAGCAGTTGCCTTCGGCTCAGGTCGTGATCCTGGCGCCCTGGGATCGAGTCCCACATCGTGCTCCTTGCTGGGTGCTGCACACGATGCTGGAACCTGGCCCCGGCCTTGTGTTCCCGTCCCACGGGCAGAGGAGCAGCTGTGTCCCACCTTATGGCAGGGGGACCAGGCCCGTGCATCCTACAGCTAGGAAGTGGGCTCTTCTGTCTCCAAAACCAAATCTTCATAGAACTGAAAATTGAGTGTCAGGAGTGAATGGTATTTTTGAGAGCACCATTGGGGAGTGCGGCCCAGAAGGTCCGGGAGCTTGGTGGTCTGGTCTGCTGCAGGGGGCCTGCGCTGAGTGAGCAGCCTTTGTCCGGGGGAGCCCTGAGGCATTGGGGCGGTGGCATTCATTCCAGGTGTCGTGTCCCCTGCTGCAGGCGGGGCTGGGCAGAGCCACCGAAGGCCAGTCAAGACTTTCTGCTGGTTGTACGGGGATGAGAAGTCCTTCACTTGCTTTCTTAGTCGGAACTGCTGCGGGTCCGTGGGACTCCGTGTGCTCATTTACCAGGGCGGAAACCTCAGAACATTGAGCTAGCTGGTGAGGTGTCGCCAATGGCTGGCTTCTGCTCCTGAAAACCCAGGCTTGGGAGGCAGGCTTGTTGGCTACATTCAGCTTTAGTGAGGTAGACCATGTATTTGGGTGAGTTTCCTGTGTGTGTCGCACTGGGTGCCACACCTGTTACGGAACGCGGAGACTGGTCTTCCTTGCATATTGTGGCACCACGAACTTACCTATTCCAGTGACTCCCAGGGAACCCACCCCAAAACGTGCTTACTGTTGCCCAGCGTGGGGCACAGCTTTTCACGTTTCATCACACTGTCTCTGAGGGAAACACAGCTGTTCTCATCTTACCAGTGAGAAAACTGAGGCACAGTAAGGTCTCCACCAAGTGAGGGTCAGACTTCGGGCTGCCCACAGTGGGGACTGTGTTCATTGGGCGTGATGGACACACACTCCATGCACAGCGTCCCCCAGGACCAACAGGAACACGGTCCCTGTCTGAGGAAGTTGCCAGGCCATGGGGTAGCTGTGTCTGCAGCCAGTTCCAGAGACACATGGGACCTGTACCCAACAGGAGCAGGATTCAGGGGGAGTGGCTTGCATGCGCAGTCAGCTGGAGGGGCAGAGGTAGAAGGAGCAGTGATGTGAGGTGCATGGGGGACATAGAGGCATGGGAGTCACCCATAGGTGACAAATGTGCACCCTCACTTCGAGGACCCTGCTACTCTAGCAAGAGCTGGGGTCACTTCCTGGTAGTTTGTTCTCTTGCTTGGAATGACAGTGTGTGTGTCTCCTTGCCTGGTTTTGGCTGATGCGGTAAAGAATCTGAGGCCACACAACCCATAATTTGGTTAGCTGTTGTATAAAATTTGGTGATAAAGTGTTAACTTAATAGAACACCTCTTATTTTTTTTCCCTCTGAAGTTGGCTTGGTTGCCTATAAAGTTTGCTAGTAAACCTAAGAAGTACGCCTGCTTTGCATTTTGTTACCTCTCTACTTCAAAGGCATCCCAGCTTTGATATGGGGCTGTGGTCCAGTGACAAGTGCTGTGCCCCTGTGGCACAGAGCACACACGAGATGCTCACCCATAGCACTTGGTAGCCCTCCAGGATTGGTAGCAATCTCTGCATCGTTCGTTCACAGTGGTGGCCTTCGAAGGGTCCTGGGCATCAGTAGGACAGGAGAGTCAAGGTCGTTTGCATCCTTTTTCCTTGAGAGTAAATGTTTTGGTTTGAATCTACATATCAGTTAAAGCCCAGGGGTCCTAACAATAGAGAAGTAACAGAAACACCATGGTGTGCGCAGCTACTTGAGATCATGGAACTTGAGTTCACTCGAATGTAGCATTGATAATTATGGGCAGAAACAAGTAATCTTATGTAGAAAGAGGGGGAGAGAAACCTGGACTCTGGTTGTCCCCAAGCATAGAGCAGTGTGCTTGGTGTTGGAGCACGGGCAAGTTGGACACCCTGAGCAGAGCCCCTGAGTGAAAGCTGGGCGGGTGACAGCTCCCAGCACCCACCGTTGTACTCAGGTGCCCTGGGCAGCACAGCTGGTTCTGGAAGCAACAGGACTGCCCTGACGCTGTCAGGTTTCAGATGAAAAGAAGAAAAGGCAGAGCTGGATCTGGGTTCCTGACAGCCAGAGAATTGTTGAAGTAGCAAATGCAGGGTCTTTGATTTCTTTGGATTTCTTTGTTCATGGAGCATTGCTCACCCAACCCTGGGCCTGGGAATTAGCTGTGTGCCCAGTCTAGTCTTTTGGGTGCAGTAAAATTGTATGACTTTGAACCTGCAGTTCTGTGTCCTCAGCATTAATGACCCAGGCTGACCTTGGCGCCCTTCTGTCTGCCAGCTTGGGTGTGCGCACCTCATGGGAAGGGTTTCATGGATACTCTGCAGCTGCACTAGGAGGGCATCCTGTTATTTTTCCCCGCATTTTATGAATAAGGATGTTTCTACACTGAGGGGTCAAGGGGCCCAAAGAACCTAGAAGCTGGCAGTGCTTGAGCCAGGGCTGGACCTCCACTGCAGGCACTAGGGCCAGCGCTGTGTCCCAGCACCCGCAAGGGTTATGCACAGCACAGAAGGACATGCAGGGATGCTCACACGGGGTATGTCAGGAGCACTCTGACAGGGCGCAGGAGTTACTGATGGCCTGGACGTCTGTGCCGTGGGGTGCTGTGGGACCATCAGATGTTTGCTGGAGCTCTGTGTCTGTGTGGACTGACCGTCATCGTTGAGAGAATAGAGACAAGGAAATCACAGGTATGGTATGGTATGGTTTCCTTTACGGATCTATGCAGAGACTTCTGGAAGGAGATTCCTTGCTGGGTATGAAGCTGCAGATGATTTTTTTAATAATTTTTTTTTTTAGTCTTCGGGTTTTTGAAAATTAATACATCATTGTTACCAAAAGGTGGGGCTATTGTCAAAAGATAAATTCAGATGTGGGAGAAACTACTATAATTGATGTTCCGAAGTTTTCTGGGCAGTTTGCAGGTGAGGGCACTAGAGACTAGGTACCATTGAGGCTTGAGCGACAGCAGGTGAGAACTGTGTGTTTAGGGTTCTGTGAGGAGCAGCTGTAGAGTTGGGGGACCCAGGATACCCTGTGCCCCTTGCCTCGCAGGTGCTGGTCTGTGTTCTGCTGAGTCTGGAAACCGTGTAGAGAGGTTTTCCTCAGTCGGCTTCCAAGGACAGAGGGGGACACTGGGCCTCTCTGGCTTCTTAACTGAAACGGCACAGGATGACATGGTGCACAGGTCTTGTGAGCTGCATGCACAGCCACCTTCTTAGGAGGTGAGAGCTGGTGGCCATGCTCTTCTAGGAGCATCTTGAGGCAAAAACAGCTACAGGGAGTCTTAGGGACTTTGCAGAAGGGTGTGTCTGTTTCTGAGGGGTTGTGTCCCACCCAGGAATAGTACCTGTCCCTCCATGGCTGGTTGTCACCATCCCCAAGCTTGTGTTTCTTGCCCCGAAGTCCCTGCCTTCCCCTTGGTCTCTGGACACCTGCTCCAAGGGGAGTAGGGGGGGACGCTGACTCCACCTCCTGTTCAGCTTGCACATTGAGATGCAGTGATTACTTTTGTTCTGTAGGTTTAAGTTTAAAACCAGTACTGAACTCAGGGGCTTCCCTGCCCTGGGCCTGGCACTGTTGGCCTCGCCCTCGTGTCGGCTGGAAGGTGAGGCTCGGGGGCTGCTGCACTGTTGCTTACAGTTGCTTTGTCTTTGGTGGTTGTCACTGCCCCGCTGAGACACTGAGTTACACGGAGTTCTTTACATGGAAATGCTGGAAATGATCTTTCATATTATTTTATGAAATGATAAAAATGGGATCAATGTGTGTTTGGTTTCAATAGCTACTCTAACCTACGACACTCTTCGATTTGCTGAGTTTGAAGATTTCCCGGAGACCTCAGAGCCTGTGTGGATACTGGGTAGAAAATACAGCATTTTCACAGGTATTAGCCATGTTGGAGCCCGTTGTGCTCTCATGTTGGGGGAATAAAATAATAGTTATCTGTTAACTTCCTGTATCACATGATCTACGAAGTTAAGGCTGTGTATGTTTTCTGCTTTTAAACAATCCCTAGAAAAGGATGAGATCTTGTCCGATGTGGCATCCAGACTTTGGTTTACATACAGGAAGAACTTCCCAGCCATTGGTAAGTATGCCATCGGCTACCATGCGTGCTAATAGATATAGGCTTTATAAGTAGGACGGGTTGGACGCATAGTGTTGACTTCGGGATGCCCAGTCCTCGTCACTTCATCTCTGATGTCACGGCGACCCTAGTGACTTAAGCCAGCTGAGGTCTTGCCCCTCATGTGGCAGAATTAGGGTCCAAACCCAGGAATCCCGAATCTCCTGAGGGCAGGGATTTTCCGACTGCTGGTCCTGGTTTCTTACTGGAACCTCAAAGTCAGGATAATGAGTCACAAGTAGCATTTCAAAGTGAGAGCAGAATGGAGTGTGGAGTCGTGGGTTTCCACAGTGAGGCAGCGTGTGGCTTCAGGAGGCTTCGGTGTGTACGTTGGAACGGTGTCCTGGGTCACGGTTGTCACAGTGCACTTCAGACTGCAGGCCCAGGGTGTCTGGAGGCCACTGCTCTGCGTCATCACCTTTTCTGCGGTGTCCCGTGCTTAGTTGCAGGGAGAGCTGAAGGGCCGCGTGGATGTGCCTTGTCTTCACGTCGCACCGATGTGAGTCCCATTCAGAGTCCTGGCCCTGGAGGTGGACGGGGAGGGGCCCCAGCTCTCAGCCTCGCTTTGCCAGTTTGAGAACCTGAGACCAGAGGGTCGGCACCAGGAGGCTGTAGCTTCCCGGTGGCCTGTCTCCGTCAGGCCCCTCCCAGAGATGCGGGCCTGGGTTCTCTGGAAGGGAGGGGCATGTGGTGTGGCTGCAGGGTCGTGGCGGGGAGTGCTGTGGGATAGGAAGACGAGGCCAGTGCCACCACAGGCCATCTAACAATGGCATTTGTCTGCTGTGCTCCAGGATGCCATTCATGCCACAGCTGCTGTGCTCAGCCCTGGAGACAGGGAAGCACCTGGTCGTGGAGGTGTGCTGGGCACTGGTGCAGGGACACCGCTGTCCTGTAGGTTGCTGTCTGGATGCGCAGAGCGGGGCCAGGCTTAGAGGAGCCTTGTAGTGTTTGGGAACATCCTTGAGGAGCAAGGTGCCTGCCACTAAGGGCCCACATGGTCTCTCCTTCCTAGCCATGGGGAGATGGCTGGCAGGTATGGCTGGTGGGTACAGGAGTTGTCGCATGCCCCCAACTCTGCCCCTTGGGGCGTGTATAGGAGGGGCTGCCTCTGGTGGCGCTGCAGGGAAGTATGGGGCCTGCCGGGGCTGCTGCTCCGAGGGCTGGCCATGGCCTCTCTGCTCCCGCGCCGCCTCGCACCTCTTGCCTCGCTGGGCCTTCGGACATCGGGATGTCTCCTGTTGTGCTGGGGCCAGTCTCAGAGTACCCGCAGAACTCTGGTGCCCAGCATGGGTATCCTCTGGGCCCTGGCAGGGGGCATGATGTGGCTGGGCTCCGGGGTGCGTGTGCTTGAAGTGCTGAGGGCTATCACCGGCCTGCCCAGGCTTGTGTTGCCGCCCTCCTGCACACAGCCCAAGCTCCCAGCAGGTGCATCTTGGCTCTTCCGGTGCGTGGAGAAAGGTCGTCCTTATTGAACTTGGACTTTCCTCGATTACCTGTGAGACTTAGTGTGTTCCATATGTTTTCCAGACAATCTAATTCTCTGTGACAGACTAACTGTTCACGTATTTTGCCACATTCAAGGGGTTGGCAGGACGTGTCATTGCCCAATAAATGTGCCCTTGGCATGACCAGGTTCTAAATGGCCTGTCCTCTGAGACGGAGCTGACGCGGCATAGGGCTGATCCCAGCATGCTAGGACCAAGGCCTCTTGCCAGTGGACTCCTGAGCTCCTGGGACATCTGATGGTGAGGGCTCTGTCTTTATTCACCATGACAGGGGGCACTGGCCCCACCTCGGACACAGGCTGGGGCTGCATGCTGCGCTGCGGACAGATGATCTTTGCCCAGGCCCTGGTGTGCCGCCATTTAGGCCGAGGTGAGTCACGGCCGTTGGAAGCCAGCAGGACTGGGGGGCTAGGTTACCCAATGCATGCAGACTAGGGTTCAGGGTTTTCTTCAGTGGCAACCCACTGGTTTTCATTGATTTTTAAAAAGTGACATTAAAGAATATTGATGAACGTTCATGTTTTAGAAATGATTTTTATATCACTGAAACCGTTTTCTGTTCTGTATGGATTTATCTTGACGGGTTAGCATGTATGCATTTGGAAATCCTAGAGAATTTGGCTTTTAACTTTAGAAAGGTTCAGAAAAGGGTATCACTGTGGCTTGAGTGTTTTAGAAATGTAAAGGCTTCTTTCTCCTCTTTTGGTAAAATTGAACTTCTGCATCTCTCCACTAGATTGGAGGTGGACCCAGCGGAAGAGGCAGTCTGATAGCTACTTCAGTGTCCTCAACGCGTTCATCGACAGGAAGGATAGTTACTACTCCATTCACCAGATAGGTGGGAGATTGCTAAGTGCGCCAGGCCCTGCTGCTTAGAGCAGGCCAAGTTGTTGGTTTCCCCGAGCGCTTCTCTGGTTTGGGGTGTTTGAGGCATGAAGCTGTAGGTCCCTCTGGCCGTGGCCTCCGGGGGCTGCTGTCATGGGTCGGGCCAGCTCAGACCCGGGGCCTTGCTGTGGCGTGGTTGGGGGTTGGGGGGGGGTGCATGGCCACAGTGGGGTGCAGGCTGCTGATTGCGGCAGCAGTGTAGGTGGGACAGCAACTCCAGGGGTCATCCCTCTCTGAGCCCATCACTAAGTGTAAATGCTCCTTTGTTTTGAGCATCATGTCCTCACTTACAGAGGAAGTAAAGATATAGCTTTGATTCGTTGAATTTCCTCTAATCCTACTCCTTATTGAAGGGCTGGTATCCTGGCTTATAGTGAGGGATGACCTTGAGGTGGCCTCTCTCCCTCTTGGAGAAAGTGTCCTGGAGTCTGTCAGGAGCTCCTGCTGGAGGGGGGGGGGGGGGGGGGTGCCAGTCCGGGTTTCCTGTGGAGTTTTCCTGCTGCTATGTGCTGCTGCCAAGATGGGCCTCTTCTGGGGGAGGGGCAGGGGGGAGGCACAGGTCACTAATCTCATCTGTTTCCTGCAGCACAAATGGGAGTTGGCGAGGGCAAGTCCATCGGCCAGTGGTACGGGCCCAACACTGTTGCCCAGGTGCTCAAGTATGTGCCAAGCCCTATCCCTCCCATTTCCTTGGGGTGGCGTGAGCATGACCTGTGGGTTCAAACTCTCCTGAGTCTGAGGGGTCTTTTATACTTCCCCTCATGGCCCTCCTGAGAGTCCTCAGAGGTGGTCGTGGCCCATGATGTTTCCTCATAGAGGAGTGTCGTCATCCGGATAGTGCCTGCTGGATGGGGCCTCTGTGTCTGTTACATGGACCCATCCACAAGGCTGGAGGTTGAAACTGGTCTGGAGTGACCGCAGTGCAGTGTGGGTGCCATGGGCCTCGGCCTCTGTGCTGACCTTCTCCCCGCAGTGGACCCTGTGGCTTTCCCTCCACATCCTGACTCAAGCCTCTGTCCCCTGCTCCTTGTACCCCAGGCTCCCTGCTCCCAGTGTCTGAACCCACCCCTCTTCCCTCTCCCCACAACCCACAGTTGGAGTGAAGGGCTGCCCTGTCCATGTGGCCTCTCTTGGCAGGTTGTTGGGGACCTGCCAGAGTGCTACTTTCTTCTACAAATCCACCTTCTAGCTGATCCTCAAGTCTGCCCATGGTCTCTCTGTCCCCTCACCCTGCCCCCCCATTTACTCAGCCCCTACCACATGCCCCTAAGAGCCCTGGGTCCAGCCCTGCACACCTTGGAAGCAGTCTTTCTGCACGGTCAGTCTCCCTGTGTGGTCAGTGTGTGTGGTTTGCGTGTGTAGTCCATGTGTGTAGCCTGTGTGTGGCCTGCATGAGTTGTCTGCATGGTCTGCGTGGACTGCGCATGTGCTCTGTGCATGTGGTGTGGCTGCACAGCCTGTGTGTGTGGTCTGTGTGCATGCCTGCACGTGGGGTTTGCCAGTGTGGTCTGTGGGCTCTCGCTGTCCCTAATTCTGCTCTGAAGCAGCTCCTTCGAGGTTGCTGTCCATCTAGTCCCCTCCCAATGCCAGGATTTGGTCCTCTGTTTACTCAGTTGTTTGGCAGGTGGCTCTTGGTGCAGATGTTCTCTCTAGGAAACCCTGTGTGGTATAGTCATGCTCCCTGGTCCCTGTTGATGGTCGATGGCTCCATTGTCATCCCCCCGCCATGAGCACTGCGGGGCTGACTTGGCCTTTGGCCGCTTCTCTTTTGTGCCAGCAGCAGCGTGAGCTGTGGTCTACAGGGTGCAACTCTCAGAGTCCCCCCCCCCCCCCGTGCTGATTTGTGCCCAGACTCGGGTCCAGGTACTTACTCAGAAGCTCCCCTGAGATGTCCGAGGGGCATGTCAGCCTAACAGCCAGAACCAAAAGGTGACCCTTCTCCCCTTCCCTGGCCTGTTCATTCTACAGGGAATGGCAGTGCTGTCCTTCCAGGAACTCAGGAAAAAAAACTGGGGTCATGCTGGATTTTTTTTTTTCAACACACCCCATTCACTTGGGTCTGGACTCTAACCAGTGCTTGTTACCTCCCTGTCCTCACCACGGTCCAAGACCCATTTCTGCCTCCTTGTTGGTCTTTTCGATGTCCTCGAGGCTCTTTTAAAATACAAATAGGCGTTAGGGCACCTGGGTGGTTCCATCAGCTAAGCATCTCGCCCCCCCCCTTTTTTTTTTAATAAAGATGATTTATTTATTTGAGAGAGAGAGAGCAAGCAAGAGAGGGAAAGAGAGCATGAGCGAGGAGGAGGGGAGCGGCAGTGGGAAAGAGAGAAGCAGGCTTCCTGCTGAGCAAGAAGTCTGATGTGGGGCTTGATCCCAGGACCCTGGGATCATGACCTGAGCCAAAGGCAGCGGCTTAACCCACTGAGGTACCCAGGCGCCCCAAGCATCCGGGTCTTGATTTTGGTGGGATCGAGCCCCTCCCTGCCCACATTGGGCTCTGTGGTCGGTGGGGAGTCTGCTTGAGATTCCCTGCCCCCCCCCGACACCGTACTTGTGCACACACTCTGTCTCTAAATCAATGAGGGTTTTTTGAAGATTATTAGAGAGACTGAGTATATACACGTGGGTGGGGAGCAGAGGGAGAGAGTGAAGTAGACTTCCTACTGAGTACAGAGCTCACCATGACGCTTGATCTGAGGAACTGAGCTCATGACCTGAGCCAGAATCAGGCGCTTAACCCACTGAGCCACCCAGGTGCCCCTAAATCAATAAATCTTTAAAAAGTAAGATAAAAATAAAATACCAATAGGTGTTGGGACGCCTATGTGGCTCAGTCAGTTAAGCATCTGCCTTCAGCTCAGATTGTGGTTCCGGGTCCTAGGATCGAGTTTCACATCAGGCTCCTTGCTCAGTGGAGAGCCTGCTTCTCTGTCTGCCGCTCCCCCACTTACACGCGCACTCCTGCTCTCTCCCTCGCTCTCTCTCACAAATACATATAATCTTTAAAAAAAATACCAATAGGTGTCATTTTCATAAAATACATGGTGGCGGTCTGCCCCTTTTCTACTAGAACCGTCCTGGGGCTTCCCAGATGACTCCAGGGGAGGCTGCAGGTGTAGATGCGGCTCTGCCTCCCTGTCTGGCTCGGTCTCCACCGCTTGCCCCCGTGCTCAGTCCCAGGCACACTGTACCTTGTGCGGTTTCACCGCTGTACCTGGCCCTCAGCAGGCGTGAGAGTGAGTCAGCTGGCAGAGTGTTGCATGTGCTCCCCTGGGCACCACTTTGGCCTTCCCATGGGGAGGAGCTCTATGTGGCCCTGACACCCTGCGCCCCCCACGGGTGTCCCCAGACGGACTAGGTTCGCCCATTAGACCTGTGGTTGTTGCTTGCTTGACTTGCAGAGGCTCAAGCTTTTGGGCGCTCTCTGCTGCCAGCTCTCTCTGTGGGGCTCCAGCTGCTCGTCAGCCTGTCACTTTCGGGGTGAGGTGGAGCAGAGTGTGAAGGTGCAAGGGGTATGGGGATGCTGGGCCTGCTTGGGCTGACAGAATCTGTGATATAGCTGAGACAGGGTTTGTGCTCCCTTTCCCAGGAAAGAACGCCCTGCAGCCAGGGCTCCTGTGCAGGGACGCTGTCCCCATGCAGCAGCTGGACGTAATGGAAGCAGCACTGGGCCCAGGTGGGAAGAAGCAGGCCGTAGCCTTGGCTTTCTTCCCGTCTGCAGCCCTGAAGGTGTCAGCTGTGCTCTTTCTCATCTGCAAAACCTGCGGGAGCATTTGCTGTCCTCTCCTTTACTTGGCCCATGGAAGTGAGAGATCTTTGAGTTGTGAAGGCTTACTGGTGTGTCCTCTCTTTTCTGTTAGGAAACTGGCTGTCTTCGACACCTGGAGCGCCTTGGCAGTCCACATAGCCATGGACAACACGGTGGTGATGGAGGACATCAGTAAGTGAATGAGAGCTCAGGGGCTGTAGCCGGTGGGACTCAGGGAGCGGCTCCCCGGCCCACGGAGGGGCCTTGAGTGGCATGCAGGTCGGTGCCTGTACACGGCCAGGGGATCCCTCATTCTCATCCAGTGTACAATAGGCTTAGGGGACGGGCCCAGACTCTCTGCAGAGCTGGGCTACATTGTACCCCAACTTGCCATGTCCGCTTGCCAGAACTTGTTCAGGTGTGCTGGGTCAGTCTTTCCCTGGCACCATGCTCGTCAAGGAAAGGCAAGAACAGCTTTCAGCTGTACTGTCTCTAGCCAAGGTGTAACAGGAAGCATAAAGGAGCATAGCTCTCTTCCTCTTTCTGGAAGGATCCATGGGAAACTTGAAAGATCCAGGCATCCTGAAGTTTTAGTCACCGATGCTGTGCCAAGAAGGAGTGAGGGACAGGCTGCTTTCCAGAGCCTGCATTCCTGCGGGATCCAGGGTGAGGTGCGGGCTAGGGCCTGGAGGAGACTCAGCCATGTCCCCAGATGATGGCCCCTGGCTCTCGGCATCTTGGGTCATCTGTAGCCATGCTACCAGAGATCAGTGCAGACCTGGGCTTGTCTGAGGAGGACTGGGTCTGTTCTGAGGAGGGCCCGGGCCTGCAGATGTAACAGTCTCATGGTTGGGGTGTGTGTGTGGCTGCGTGGCCATGGTCAGGGCCCTGGAGTCCTCCCCTCCTGAGTCAGAAGCGACACAGGCTCATCAGGGGGATGACTTAGGAAGAACAGCGTCAATATACAACCAGCAAGGACGCTGGGACAGAAACAGTGCCTGGGGTCCTGTGCACAGGTTAGTGAGGTGACTAGTAGGTGGAGGGGATTCTGAATGGCTGTGCTAATTGCTTTTGGCTTTAGAAGCCTCAGGGGGCCGGCGGGGGGGGGGGGGTGATACTTAGGCCTCAGCCAAGGCAGGCGAGCAGCCACTTTTCTAGTCTCAGCTCCTAAGGGTCACAGGTGTGGGAGAGAAGGCTCCAGTTCACCAAAGCAAAAGTTGGAGAACCAGTACTGGCCAAGCCAGGGCTGTCCCGGTGTCCGGAGCTGCTCCCTGGTAAAAGCGCGGGCTTTCCGCCTTCCCTGTCTGTTTCAGGGGAAGGGTGCTGGGCGGGGGGAGCCTTGCTGGTTGAGATGTGCCCACCCTCCTTGGGGGGCCACCCGGGACCTCCAGAGCAGCCTCTCCCAGTGCTTTCCCTGGATGGCTTTCGAGCTTCATGAGCGCAGCAGACACCTGCAAGGCCTTGAACATGGGGAGGAGTTAGAGATTGAAGAAGACCACGAGACAGCACTCACAGAGGTACAGCACAGGAAGCGTGCAGGGGGCGCAGACCCTAGGCAGAGGAGACTGTGGTTGGAACTTCCAGGAGGCGAGGACAGCTGGCCCAGGAGGGACAGAAGGTCAGCCTCCCTGTGCTGGAGCTAGCGTTTTCACAGCTGAACGCCTCCCAGTTTTCTAAATGGAGGTTCCTCAGATATGCGCTTCCAGAGTTCAGAGACGGACACATGGAAGCATCCAGATGAAGTAGTGGTAGGAAACTGCTTCTGAAGAGAGGTGGTCCTGCTGGTCTGGCTGTCTTATTTTCCTGCTGTGGCAGGTGCTGGTGGGGCCGGGGCGGCATGCTGGGCAGTTAGTTATATGGTATGTGGCCGTTGTCATGGACTGGCTTGGAGAGAGCTCAAGCATGGTGGGAATGTGAAGGGAACATGACCAAGGGACCTGTGGGTTCCTGGACGCTTGCCATGTCACTGGCCACATGCAGCCTTGGTGAGTCCCCGAAGTGCAGCCGTGATGGGCCCTGCATCCATCATTTCTTGAGCTGATCGATGTGAGGGTCTTTGCTGGTGAGGAAGGTGTAGTCGGCAGGGAGTTCCTCCACCCCCATTCTTCATTTTCCAGCTGTGCATTCTGAGGAATTCCAGTCCCGCACTCGTGCAGCCATCCGCCTCCCTCCTTTGTCCCCAGTGGTTGGTGGTCAGCACACCTGCCTCCTCGCTGCTTGGCTGGCCTGGCCCTCCCTGGTTCACTCCAGCCTGTGCTCAAGCTGCTGGGGTTGTGTGTGCTTGCCACACCTGTGCAGTCTCCTCTGATCTGGAAAGTTCTCCATCTTGGTTTATTTTCCTGCTTTTTCATAGCACTGACGTTTTCAAGAGGTCGGGCCCATTTGGTACAGTGACCCACACTCAGTGTATTTGGTTCGTCAGGATTAGATCGGGGAGACCTCTTGGCCGAGAGCACTGCCTGGCGGCTGTCCTCAGCACCAAGGCAGGAGGCTGGTCAGTGGCGTTTCCGTGGGTCACCGGGCTCAAGTCATAGCTCAGGCTGTGTCTCTGCCTCCCTGTGATTGATGGGGATTAACGGGGATCCAGGGGTGATACCGAAAGTACATCGAGGATTTTTGCCTGGAATGGTGGTTTCTGTAACCATCCCTCCTGCCGGGTTTACTGGCTAGCAAGGTGGCTGGCCCACCTTGTCCTTTCTCTTCCCCAGCCTGGGGTCAGTGGTTTCTCTAAAGAGCCCTGGTTCCGTTTAGCAGGGAAAGGTATTCAGAAACCATGGCCTGGGTGCCTGCTGGGCTGGGGCCCCTGGAATGCCCCTGTCCCCACCACCAGCCTCCAGGGTAGCACACTGATGGAAGAGTAGCAGTGCGCTTAGAAGATACGAGTTGTCTCCATACTGACAAGGGAGGAGCAAGGTTGTTCCTTGATGGCGTCCCAGCTGTGGGGCCAGTGCGCATGCTGCTGGCATGGCCACGGTGCTGGCCTTATCGCTGCCCGGGACGCGTGGTGGTGTGTGTTTGCTTTCATTCGAGACTGTTTCACGACGACAATTTTAAATTGAACATGCGTAGAAAATGTTTCATTCTTTTTTTTCCTCTGTGGGCGTTAGGATTCATCTTAGACTTGTTTTCCAGATTCAGGTTGTGTGAAGCACTTGACTTTGTTACACTTGTTTCCCTTGACTGAGTAATGACACGCTTGTTCCTTTTGGGTGAGCTTCTGTTGGCTTCTGTTCAGCGCTTGAAAGCACATCTCTGTTTTCCAGGAAGGTTGTGCAGGGGCAGCCTTCCGTGTGCGGGGGCCACCGCACTTCCCGCGGATTCCAGCCGGCACTGTAATGGCTTCCCGGCGGGAGCGGAGGTCACCAACAGGCCGGCACCATGGAGACCCCTGGTGCTTCTCATCCCTCTGCGCCTGGGGCTCACAGACATCAACGAGGCCTATGTGGAGACGCTGAAGGTGGGCCTTCTCGCTGACCAGCAGAGGGACCGAAATACTGCTTGTTAAAACCCTGCTGTTGTTGCCATAATGGCCCGTTCTACCCTCTGACCGCTCCGCCCCCCGCCCCCCCCGACCTGTGGACTCCTGGCCTCCACCTGGATTGTCTTGACCGCCTCTCCTGCTGGGCCCCACGCTCACCCTGCAGTCTCTGCTCCCCTGCCCCCAGTCCCCAGCAGCACCGGTCTCGGTGTGGCGCCCCCGCCCCCACACACCTCTCTGCCCTGCACATGGGCCCTTTTCGCCCCTGTCCACACCTTCTCCCACAGCCCCTCACTTGGTGCCTTCCGCAGCCCCACTGCCTACGTGGGGCTTTCCTGGACACAGCTGCTGATGAGGCTCTTGGGGACCATGTCTTCTCACTCTCCATCCCCTGACACCCCATCAGGCCCTGGCTGGGGAGGAGGTCGGCTTCGTGTGGCACATGGGCTTGTGGTCACCAGACAGTGTGCTCAGCCACCTGCCTCCCCTCTGCCCTGCAGCGCTGCTTCATGATGCCTCAGTCCCTGGGAGTGATCGGAGGGAAGCCCAACAGCGCTCACTACTTCATCGGCTATGTGGGTGAGTGCTGGTCCTGCTGGCAACTGAAACATCGTGAGGCTCTTGGCTTGACCCTGGGTGTCCGGTGTAGAAGCAGCACGCTTCTGTGAGAGGTCTACATACCTGCCCAGTCGGTGCTGGCGTCCCGAGGATGCTCCTTCCCTGCAGTGGTCTGGCTCCCACCCCATCTCATGCCTGCTGTCTCCCAACCTGGCGTGTGAGCAGGTGGATTTCCACGTGGCCAGTTGGAGTGGGACCCCAGTCTGTTCCCTTCCCATTGACTTGCTCATCGTCTTTCCCAGGTGAGGAGCTCATCTACTTGGACCCGCACACGACGCAGCCTGCGGTGGAGCTGACTGACAGCTGCTTCATCCCAGACGAGAGCTTCCACTGCCGCCACCCGCCTAGCAGGATGGGCATCAGCGAGCTCGACCCATCCATTGCCGTGGTGCGTCCCCCGCTGTGTGCTGCCTGCTCTCCTGGCCATGGGAGCTCGTGGGCAGGTGGGAAGGAAGGGTCTCCAATTTTATGATTTTGTTTTCAGCGCATTGGAGGAAGTATCACATTGATGTGGTTTCGCATGCACAGGGCACAGAAGGTTTTAATAATGTCTGTTAGCTTCTTGTGCGCGCCTGGGGCCCTCAGCCTCTGTGGTCCCCCATGGCTCCCTGGCCATCACAGCTAGTGGCCCCCCCACTAGCTCAGGGGCAGTCTGCTCCACTCCCTGCCCTGCATCACCTTTTTGGGGTTTGGGGTTTGACTTTTCAGTTTTTGACTTAATGTATCTGGCAGGTGATTCCTAAGAATGAGCTTCTTTGCTCTGATTACAAGGTAGAATTTTGGGCTGTGATTTGTGTAAACCTATGCATTCTTAGAATGCATTTGATGGGGATGGGGGTCAGAAACACCCGGAAGGAATGGTGTTCCTCAGGGAGTGATTAAGTCCCCGACAAGGCAAATCCTGGTCCCGAGACGGAGCTCTCTGGACCTGTGGTCTGGGTCTCGTGTGGTGTCCTGAGGTGGGTGGCGGGTGGAACCGTGCCTTGGAGGGTTGAATTCCTGGGGCTGTGAGCGTGGCTCCGTAGTGGACCGAGGCTGGTGCCCGCGGAGACAGAGCAGGTCAGAGTGGCAGTGCTGTGGGCTGTGGGCGTGCGGACACCAGGCAGGAGGGGTGACCCTGTCCTTGCCTAATAGGAGGAGGGCTGCATGTGGGCTCCTCAGGAGATCCCGGCTTCTCGTCTCCCAGCAGCATGTCACGCATGTGCTGTCACCGAGCTAGGGCGGCACAGATGGTCTCTGGAGGGAGAGGGCACCCGTGTCTAGGATCGCACCTAGAGTTCTGGTGGCGCCTGGAATGTCTAGTAATGTGTCCCTGGCATTGGTGCTGCATGTGCGATGGTTCTAGCCGCGTGCCATCGCTGCTGACTCTGCGTGGGACCCAGGGCTCCCCTCATCTAGGTGCCGCAGGTGGGAGGCCCACTTTTTGAGTTGTGCTACGCTCTGTGGATTCTGGTGGCACGTGAATGGCCAGGCCATGAAACTGCACATGGCCTCTGTGTCCTGGTCGGTCAGGGCGGAGGTTCGAGCTGCAGACCGAGCCCCCAGAGAAGGGCAGAGACCTAGATCTCCTATGGCCACACTGCACTCAAGTGTGGCCAGCTCGTGTGCCTTACCGTGTGCTGCTCACGGCTGCTTCTGTTCCAGGGCTTCTTCTGTAAGACTGAGGACGACTTTGATGACTGGTGCCAACGAGTCAGACAGGTGGGTGGCAGGTCCCCGCGTGTGGGTGGTGGTTACGGGAAGCTGTCTCAGGGTCTCTGGCTTGGGGTCCCGCCTCCCTTGGCACCTGGCCCTCAGCTCACAGTGTGGCTTGTGGCTTTGGCCTCATGCGCAGAGAACATGGCCACGGAGCTTGCTGTGAGACTTTGCAGGGCGTTTCAGATTTGCCCGTGTTGTGGCTGCGAGCGGAGGTGGCATGTGGAGTTTGGCGCCCTCTGTGTGAGCGATTGGAGACCTGATGCGCAGACCAGCAGAGGCCACCTCCCCGTCCTTGTCCATGGCTCCCTCTGCCGGCAGTGTGATCTGTGTGGATGGGGGTGCTTCGCCACACCCCCCACGGCTGTGTCTAACGGACTTGTCTGCTGACAGCTGTCATTGCTTGGAGGTGCCCTGCCCATGTTCGAGCTGGTGGAGCAGCAGCCTTCCCACCTGGCCTGCCCCGACGTCCTGAACCTGTCCTTAGGTGAGTGTGGAGGCCACAGGGCCACATCTCAGGTGGGGACACGGCTGTTCCTGGAGCGGTATGGTCTGTGCAATGTTCTGTCCTCTTTGCTTCGCCCAGGTCCTGTTCCAGTTGCTTTTGACTTTTAAGATTTGTATGGGCCCAGGATGTGAGCCTTTGGTGGTGTATGTGTGGGACAGGGTGCTGCCAGATAGCCTGGCTTGGGCCCCAAGTGGCAGCAGGGCACTCTGCTGCCCTGTCCTTCACCACATGTGCGATAAGCTGGCCCCCAAGCATGGAGCCAGGTGTGCTCCTCACGTGGCCCCTTGGGTCCTTGTGAACTGGAACGTGCCAGGCTCTCCGCGACGGGCCAGTGTCTCTGCGAGGTCCAGGACGGGCGCCAGACCTGGAGTGGCAGGCCACAGGTGGGCTCCGTGTCCTGCTGCTCAGTGGCTCTAGGCCCAGGGCCTCCTCCCTCACTCAGGCCCTCAGTTTCCCTAAAGTGAAGCGACTTGTGGCACACAGAGAACCGGGACTCAGCAGGCAAGCCATGCATACATCCCATTCAGGCAGCCATCTGTCTCTGTGATGGTGACGGGGCCCGTGTCCCTGTCCCTCCGAGGAGATCATGGAGGATGGTGACTGAGCCTGCTGTCTGGTAGGAACCAACAGGGAGTCAGGGGGTCGCATTGGAGACTCAGGACAGATGTCCCATCAGTCCCCAGATGGTACCTGGGGTGCTACCCATCCTGGGACAGGAAGCCCTGCTCTCCCAGCCACTGCCCCTTCCCTCTGTGCTCTGCCGAGAAGCGTGTTCTGTTTCAGAAGTGCCTGTGGGATTCTCTTTCCTGCCCTTGCCTCGCCAGCTGAAGCTCCCAGCCTGTGGAGCCCCACCGCCCAGGAGGGCCAGTGCCTCAGCAGGGCGGTCCTGGTGTCCCCTTGCCTCCTGCTGCATCAAGGGCGAGCAGGCCACATGCAGGGTGTGGGTAGCGTGTCTCCTCATCCCCGCCAACCAGAGACCCCATGCCAGGCGTCTAATGAGGTATTGTCTTGTTTCTTCTAGATTCTTCTGACGTAGAGCGACTGGAAAGATTCTTTGATTCAGAAGATGAAGACTTTGAAATCTTGTCTCTTTGAAAATCCTGGAGTTGGGGGACACTCTTCACTGGCCCTTCCTGGGGGCCCCTTCCAGAGCCCGGCCCTGCCTCAGGGCGCTTGGCGCCGCCGTGTTTCATCCATCCAGCCTGCCCGTCCGCTGAATGCCCACGCCCCATGCTGCCTCCGCCCACAGATGGAGGACTGCCCTGTTCTGGGGGCCTTCCTGCGAGCCTGGGGACTGTGCAGGCCCGGAGGGCTTGCCGGGCTCCCTGGCACAGACGAGGCGCCGCCCGTGGGAAGGCCTGTGCAGCTGGGCAGGCGCTCCTGAGAGCTGAGCCGTTCGCACCTGAGAGCTCTCCCTGCGACTCGGCCCGCCCTGTGTTTGCGTGCTGCCTCTGCCCTGCTTCCTCCTGGGCACTCGGTTCTGGGTTTGCTTTGGAATTAAAGTCCTGTTTGAAGTTCCAAGGACATGAATTTCTGTGGGGCATGTCCCAAGTCAGGCTCCGGAGAGCTGCAGGGCGGGCCTGCGGACTCGGTCCGGCCCTGCCCTCTGAGGCCCCTGCCCTCCGCACCGCCTGCCTGGCGTGCTTCTCAAGGGCTACCTCAGCGGGAGATCGGGCTGAAGAAGTGTGGCAGGGTTTCTCCTTCCTCTGGAGAGCAAACTAGTAAAATGGTGGCACATGGTGGAAACCCAAAGATGTCCCCGTGCTTGGGACTCACTAGGACGGGGATGTGCCTGCTTTCCCGGAGCCGCAGGTAAAGCCCACGTGGGCTGCATCTTTCTCACGCCGCCTCTGCGGGTCCGGGCATCCCAGATGCCCCACGTGCTGCTGCTTGCTTGTCGCGCCAGCTTCCTCTGGGTAGGGGTTGGGTGGGGGGAGGAGCTGTTCTGGGGCCCCAGACCTGGGGGGGGGGTGCGGGGTGTGCAGCCTGCTGCCATCCAGGGCCTTCCTCCCACTCACCAAGGCTTTAGGTGGTTTGGGGCCGGAAGGTAAAGCTCATAGCTTTACGATGTGAGCCTGGCGCCCCATCCCTCTTGTGTACCAGACATTTCCAGATCCTTCTCAGCACCTACGTCAGCACCTGCAGCCTTTAGCCTGAGTCCTCTGGGCCCAGGCTGCACCACTCCCATTCGGGTTTGCCGTCCATCTTGGAAGCCTGGCTTCTGTCCCACCAGAAGTGTAAATGGGCTGTGGGGGGGCTTGGTCAGAGGTGATGGGCTGTCCCAGAGCGCCCAGCCGCCTCCGAGCCCTGCCTGGGAGGGCGGGGCCTGAACTCATGGTCGCCCTGAGCTCGTCCTGCCGGCCAGCGTGCTGCCCACATAAGCGACTTTTTCTGTTTTGTTTTTCCTGTTTCGCGCCCCGTTGGTGAGGTAGAGTTGGGGGAGCAGGGAAGGTTGGCTGGTTTCCACTCCTCCAGCACTGCGTTTCTCTGACAAACACCTGTGCTCCTGCGGGCTGGGTACCGGGGGATGTTGTGGCTGCCACTGCTGCTGGTACAAACCAGGGACGCAGGCGATGGCCTGACCCATGGAGAGCTTTGTTTCATGTGTTTTGAAAAAGGCTTACTGAAGAGAATGTTATTCATTCTTAGTAGTGTAGTTTGCAATTCTTAATGGCAAATAATAACAGTTTCAGTAGAAAACACTTCGTTGTCTTGTGTCTTGATTTTTTCTCAAGTTCTAAGTGGATGTGGTTAAAGCAGGAATGTGGCCCAGGCTCCTGATGCCACCAGAGGGCTCCAGGAAGGGATTGGTGGGGCTATGGCCTCAGACCCATCCCACATCCTACCCAGCCTGTGAGCGGTGATGCTGTAACTTGGCCTCGCGGTCCCCAAAATGAAGAACACAAGGGAACTTGCTTTTAGAACACACAGGATCTCCTTCAACAAGAGGCTTTGTAGAAAGTGTCCCCAGTGCAACTAGCTTTACTTTTGTTTGTAAAAGCAGTGTCCCTCAAGGTGGGCTGAGTGCTGGCTGCGAGTCACACAGGACATGGGCAAGGCCTATGGTGGGATGATCCAGAGGGGGCTGTGAGGGGCTTAAGGCAGACACAGGTGGGAAGCACCGGCTGCTTCCCAGGTGAGGAGGTCCACCTGCATCATGGCCTCTAGGAAATACCCATAGGAGCTTCTCGTGCTGGATCATCCCCCATACACAGCCACTTCGAGCCACAGCTTTCCTATCAGGATCCCAGAGGCCAGTGGTCTTAAGGTCTCTGCAGGGCTGATTTCTGCTGGAGGCTCCAGGGCACAAGGTTTGCCCTCCTTTACCCCCTCCTGGAAGCTGCCCGGGTTCCGCCTTAAGCGTCCCAAAGGTGTGCCCTCTGACCTGTCCTGTGGCCACCAATGTCCCCTGACTGGGACTCCTGCCTCCCTGCAGGAGACCCCTGTGACTGTGTCTTGGGCCTTCCCAGACAAGGTAGGAGGGTCTCTCCACCTCGCTGTGCGGCTGCTGTTCCCAGGCTCCGGTAGGACTGCGTGTCCATCTTCGGGGGCCATTACTCTGCCCACCCCAGTGCAAAAGCCACCGGAGCTGGGGGCTCTGGACCATGTCACATACCATATGCCTGCCCCACCCACCCCCTGCCCATGTTGGCCAGGCCTGCCCTTGCAATCCTGGCCAGATGTTTCAAGACACATGCTGGATTCCCTGAAGAAAGCTTAAGTCTGTTGGACTGTTTTTGCCTCCAGCCTGGTTGCACCACCCACCACCTACGGGACCCCCTCTGCTCTGGCTGCTCCTCCTGAGTTCCCTCCACCTCTGACCCCACGGCCTGGCCCGCATCCTGCATCCACAGCTCCAGCTGAGCAGAGTGCTCCGCCTGTGTCCTGGTCTGCGCTGGCCACCCTGGCTTACTCATTTCCCCACCCCCACCCCCCGGGTGGCCCTGATGAGGGTCCAAGAGGCAGAAGTTCGGGGTCTTAGGAGATTGGGCTGACACGCATTTTCCTCGCAGAGCCTTGGTTGCGGGAAGCAGCACAAAGACGGCTACAGATAGTGCTGCCAGACCAGCCCTGTGGGTGACACAGGGCCCAAGGTGGACCCCGTGTGTGGGGTCCACTTATGGTGTCTGTCTTGGCAGCGGGTCCTCTGGCTCTGAACTCACGTGTGCTGCCCACTCTGGGCGGACACCTGGCCATCAGCAGGGCCCCACCAAGCTGCAGCAGTCCCCTCTGTGAGCACAGGACATGGAACTGCGACTCCATGACTGTTCCCTTGTGGCCTCACTCAAGACTGCACAGCCACCAGGCACGCTCACCTATTATGTCCTTTGCCCCCTTCTGAGGGCCAGCTGCCCAGTGACCAGACCAGGAACCCTGACAAGCACAGATGCTGGCCACACGCAGGCTCTGCCCAGGCCCCACACAGAGAGCACATCCGAGCCACAGGAGAAAGCTACTGCCCTCCAGGTGGGGGATCCCTGCCTGCCCTCCATTTAGGGCACTGCTGTGTGCTCTGGGTTCTCCAAAAGGCCAGACCAGTCAGGATAGCTTCAGTGGGACAGAGTGTAAACACCAACACCAAGCCCGTGTCTGTAGTGCTGAGGTGGGACAGGCCACCGTGCCCCTGGGATGCAGCCTGGCTGGACCCAGCTTGGGGCCGTGCCTGCCAGGAAGTGCTCTCTGGCAAGCCCTTGGCTGCTAAGGAAGGCGGGAGCTTCCACAGTGCCTTTTCAGATGCGTTTTTATTGGTGCCTCTAAGAAATTCAGAATTTCAGTTGATGACCATCTCACTGGAACTGCCTGCATGTGGTCATGAGACTCCCGTAAGAAAGCACTGTCATTTACTGGTGCTTGGGGGGGGGGTAGGAGGACAGAGGAAGCTTGCAGCACTGCCTGCGGCGCCCCCGGTGTGCCCTGCTGACTTGTCTCTGCTCTGTGCACTGTGAGCACGTCGTCTGGGAGTCCACCATCCCCCCCAGCTCAGCCTCACAGGACCAAAAGGCGGGGCGCTGCATGGCTACTTCCATAGCTCGCCTAGCGGCCTCTGTGTGACGGCCTGGATGGTGTCCACAGAGAGGGCGTGGATTTCCTTGTGGACATCTTCGATGCTTTTGGAGGCGTCGACCATCTGTCCCCACGGGGGAGGCAGGAGAAAAAGAGAACGGTTAACGCTCTTCATTACTTTCCATGTGTAGGGATTTCACACGGGGCTGGGTTCTAGAAGGGTACAGTACACCTCTGGGATTCTTCATCCTACACCTTTGTCTGACCTTTGCCCTTCTCGGCGTGGGGGGGAGGGACTTGGCCTATGTCCTTGGGATGAAGCTGACCCACACTCCTGCTGCAACCCAGATACAGGAGAAACACCCCATCTTGCCACTGATCAGACCCTCTCCCTCCCCCAGCTCATGCCAGCGGGCATGTCAGTGGGGCGCCCCGCACCAGCACCCACCCCATCCCGGTTGGTGGGGCTTTGGTCTCTGCAGAGGAGGCCGGGAGAGTCTGCCCCTCTGAGGCCATGCCGGATGCTGCTCGGAGCGCAAGAAAGTTCTCCACAGAAGCTAACCCTGGGTTTGACTACTCTCCTTCTGGGGAAGAGGGTTCCATCCTGACCCAGCTGGCTGCTTTCCCCCTCGATGAAAGCATGAGGACCTCTGGTCACTATGCGACCCAGCCACCTGAGAAACCACTCTCTGCCTGAAGCAAGGATGACCAAGCTGGACAGAATCTTCTGTGTGCTCAGGGTGGGGTACCCTGTCTCACTGTTGGTCCAGGCTCGGTCCTGAAGGATCCCCTGGGGCAGGCAGTTCTGCAGAAGCTGCAGCGGTTGTGGACTCACTCAGAGGCATGTATGACCATCTGGGAGGTCTGACTGCACAGCTCGCAATGATTTGCCCCGCCTGAGACCCCACACAGTGACAGCTGCCTGAAGGCTCTTGGGACTGCTTATTGCAAACCATGAACTAGGCTGAACCTCACACATGGGTGTAATACATGTGCGTGCACACACACGCTGCATATGACCTCGTACACTGGCATACTACATGCACACACACACTGCACATGGGCGTACTATGCACACATTACAGATAAACTCGCACACACACAGGTACTACACACGCGCACATTACATATAAACTCTAACGTAGGCAATCACGTCTAAACCACATCTCTAGTCCTCTGAGGGCCTTGGGGCAGAGACAGCACCGTGTCAACAAGCACCTGGGCCCCTGGACCCAGGTTTAGGATAGCTTTCCCCTCAAGACGGGAGCACGGAAACCTGGGGAAGCAGCCAAACCCAGAGCGGGGCTGGAAGTGGACAGGATGAACCCCGAAAGTATTAATGTGCTGGGGGGCAGTCAGTGTCCCAACATGCAGGGGACCCACGAGAAGGTAACAGGAGCTACTGGGCGGGGCACAGCATAGATGACAGGGAGTCAAAACAGAAACACGAGTCCGTACAGATATGAATGTACAAGTAAACTGAAAATCCGATGAGCTGTGAGATTTTTACAGGGTT